AACAGTGTTTTTGTTGCAATTTAACACAAACGATTGCCACCACGAGATTAAATCAGTAACAAGAATTCGTTATTTCTTTTCCTTCGCTGAGCATTTCGTTTTAAATGCTAATCGTTGCTATTATAATTTTTCTACTTTCCCCAAACAGTCGGATTTGAAATTGTAATGGACATGAAAAAATTCATTTTTGTCAGTTTTTCTTTTAATAAAGACTGTCGAAACTAGTGACTATAATCGAGGTACCTCCACGAGATCGCTAAAAAAAGAACATAGCATGATGAAAAAGACGCCAAACTTGACGAAAACAAAATTTTATCGTCTAAATTTTATTACAAAGAGGAAAGATAAAAGTATTTTTTTACGTTTTTTAATCGTTCCTAGCACGTCCGAAATTTTCGTTAAAAATCTTGTTTTTTTTTGTCAGCAAAATTGACCATTTTTTCCATTTTATAAAAAAAAAAATGAAATCTCACTTTGAAATTATTTTAAATATCAATTTTTTTTTTCAAAACTTATTTTAAGAAAATCAGAAATTAGGTTTATTTAAAATATTTTGAACAAAGCTTAACTTAGCTTCTGCGCCGAAAAGATGTAATTTGAAAATAAAACAAAGCAGGTCATAAACTTTCGCGTCACTTGACAGGTGATGAATGACATTGACGGATTCCGTGAGGATAATTTGTCTTACGGAAGGAGAAAAGTGAAATTATTTATATTTAAGTGAACAAATTATTTACCTTGTTATTTTTAAGGAAAACTTTCAGCGCTCTAATTTTTTGTTTTTTGTACTTAGCTTTCACCTTTACGTTTACGATGCTTTATGGAAAATATATTATAAAGAAATTAAAATAAGACTGTTAAGAGTGACATTAAAATTTCATATTTCATAAGAAAGGTATCTAATTTATATATACCTTATGAAATTTTATCATAAGTGTACATAAAATACTATAATTTTATGTACAGTTATTACATTTTACTGTGTTATTTGTATTTCCATTCATTTTATTAATTTTGATATTTCATTTATGGAAAAATATCATAACTGAGATTCTTATAAAAATAAGATCATATAAATTTTATAAGATGATACTGATACTTGTAGGTACCCTTCTCAGTTGAAATTGAAAAATCAAATTAACTTCTCCACACGTATTTCGCAAAAGTAAAGGCCTTAACAGCGGAGAACAATGCTTAACTCAAATAACGCAACTTAATTCTATTCTGGTTGGTCTTACGTACGTTATAATTACAGCCCAATTATAAACACAAAATTACATTTCTTAATTACTGCGGATCTTCTGATTAGTCAAAATGATACAATTTACAACGCGCTAAAAAGATCTCTCATGAGGAGACTTAGGAAACCTGGTGCGGCTTTTAATTAATTTTATAATATTTTAAAAAATTATAAACATCTATTATAATTAAGAAATAACAAATTTCATTTTTCATCGAAAAAAGTTTTCAGAAAATATTGTCCATATTCATAAAAACAACTAAAAGCATTTGAAATTAAATCTGTTTTATTGAGTTTTGTATGTTACAATTCAGAGCTGATTTTCAGGTAGGGGGTCCAATTAAAAACAACAAAAAACATGATTTGCTTTCCTCAAAGCCTTGTGCTTTTAACTATTGTAATTTGATAGACTAGACTCTCAATCGTATTTCTAGCGTTTTCATAAATTAGTTATGGGGGGTAATAAAGATAAAAAAACATTTCTGCCATGACTTTAATAAAAAAAAAGCAATTTCGATCATCTGTGAATAGTTCCTGAAAGTTTCATTAACATCCGACAATTATCAATATTTTTGCAAGATTTTCCGAATTAATGTGTCATACCAAAAAAAGTGTTAAAAATTGTGTTATTTACTAGTTCCGCTGATACAAAGAGAAACAAGGTTTTTTTTCATCAATTTAGAATGTTCTAAAAAAAAAAAAAATTTTTAAAAATAGTTAAAAAAAAACTTTGGTTTTTCCTCTTAATAATAACATAAGCATTTAGACGATAAAATTATTTTCGGCAAGGTTGGCGTCTTTCAAGCTTTTACTTTTTTTTTTTTTTAATTTTTTTAAAGCAATTTCGTGGAGGTATCCCAAGAGTTTTCAAAGGTTTGTCGTTAGTATATTTTTCTGTGTTTATATTCAAATCCATGTCGCATACTAGCAATTCGGGAACGCAAGCTCATGTTCTGGTATCTTCAAATTACCTCTAACATTTTTCGGTTGGTTTCAAAACAACAAATATTGGCTAAGACCACTTTATAAAACGTGTAGCTCTTCGTTTTTCTCATTAATAAATGGTAACTGCTATTGTAGACAGTCTAAAAATTGTTGTTAGTGAGAGTGCGTCACGTGGTTGTTGGAAATTAAGTTGGTTTCCCGGCTTCTGTCTTCCAAGATACGTCTCTGACCTACCGCATTCTGTGACAGAAAAACAGGTTTCATGTTCTTTCCTTTTATACAGCTTATCACGCCACTTAACGCGCGTTGAGAGAACTTCCTTGGTAGACAAGGTGGAATAATCTCACAAGTCAAATGATTGTGAAATTACATGACCTTTGCCTTCATTTTGGACGTCATAAATTTCAAATAATTTTATTTACTTTAGCTTTCTCATTTTAATAAGTGAACGTCGTTCAATAAGTGAAAAAAAAAAAGAATAACTGAACGTCATCGAGTAATTCTTTTAAACAGAATGAAGATCCCAGATTTTAAAGGTTAAGGATAAAAACCGTAACTGCAGATGTAAGTCTCTTTTGTTTTTAATTCAATTATAAAATGTCGAAATACTGTCAAGTTTTAGTTCACTTGTACGATAACGGGAAAGGTTACGTAAAAAAAAACTGAAAGAAAATACTTGTCTGTGTCCTTTAATATATTATATATATAAAGTCCACCCAAAAAATTTATAATGTAATACTAAATTTATTCAGACATCATGAGATTGATAAAAGTTACCTTGTGACTATACAATCACAAGTGATGCTCAAAATGGCGGCCTTTAGTTTGCAGACATTTTTTTTAATATGGCAAAGTACTCCTTGCGCAAAGTTGACCAAAGTTCCCCGTGGGATTGCTTCATATACATTTTCAATTTCTTGTCTAAGGGCCGCCAATCCAATGCCATCTGTCGATAAAATACCATACTACAATAAATAACTTTTTCCTTTTCAGAAGTGTATACATTCTTTGGGCGCACTGTGTGTATATAATTATATATATATATATATATATATATATATATATATATATATATATATATATATATATATGCACACATATACTGTCAATATCAGTGAGTTATGTGCCATGCGTGATACACAACGGCCGAAACGTTGTAATAAATATGGCGACAAAGATGAGGACAATAGTCCGAATAATGTAATTTCCTGTTTAGTATTTTGTTTTTCTTACTGTTTATGGGAAACTTTGACAATTTCATTTGAGCATTTTTGCCAATTACACCACATTATTATTATTATTATTATTATTATTATTATTCAAAAATACAGGTGACAATACCTAGCAGTGCGATTTAGAGAAATATACTAATCTGCATCTCAAATTGTTCCTTTTGTTGTTGACACTTTCCAAGAATCTGTCCACCTCACAAGGCTCTTTGAGAATGCTTGACATCATTGGGAGTGCACAGGTGGCAGAGCTGCTTGAAACTATATTCTCTCTCTAAGCTGCAGGTAGGAAGCTGAGATATGAACATGATCACCCAACTGAAATATGTGTCAGAGAGGATAGAAATATCTAAGCACTGGAGGGGATACCAAATAATATCAGTCTTTAGATGTGTACATTGGAATAATCATTAAAAGAAAGGACTTTTATAATGGTTATAAAATGACATTAAATACTTGATGAAACTCTTAGGATTAATCCCTCAGTGACGTTATAATCTGCTAATAGCTGTTAAGCAATGAATTTGTCAATTAAGTAACTGATCAAATACAGCATTTAGAAAGTTATGTTGTATGCCTTGAGTAAAATGTAGCTATAACTGAATCTTATTTAATGTTTCTTGTGCTGCTCTTTTAGAAGAGTTGTTACGAACTTACCAACTTTGAAAGAATTCCAGAACTGAGATAAGGTACCAGCAGTTAAGAAAAAAAAACAGATGCTTGGAACCGAGCCTGGTTCACTTACTGATTTATTTATGCTTTATTTATTGTCTTGTTTGTTGAACTTCCTAGTCAAAAATTGCAGGAAACGAAAGGAATCTGTCAAAGAACTCTAACCCTTTAGTTTATGGTGGAACAGAAAGTAAGATCTTACTATTCTTGAATATTTTGTGAAATATTTATTTAGATCATACTAATATTTTATATTTATTTATATTATATATATTTATTTATATTAATATATTTATATTACTATATTTATTATATTTATATAAATGTTCTGTATTTATATTGATATATTTATATCAATATATATTGGGTATGATGAGACCAAATTTACAGAAAGAAAGATTAACTTGTCGATAGTCCAATACAATCAAATCAAATGTTGAGTAAAAGTATTCAGATTTTCTCAAATATAAAAAAACTTGATACAACCTAATTGATTTGTTTTTTACAGCTTATCAGCCTATTGCTTATTTAAAGCCAAAGAAATCTGTGATTGTAAGATTTGTGGGTTTTGGGGGTTTTTTTTTGGTGGGGGTTGTGGGTGTGTTTTTTGTGCTTGTTGGGAGATACGTTTTCACATAAGTTCTATTTAACCCATAGGTGGGAGAGATGTGGATTCATACCTTTCCCAATTGTATTTGCAGATAAGTGAATGTAATGAACCTGACTAGAAATCTAACTCTGCTCTTCAATTTCTCATTCCGTATCACCAGGTTCTACAAGCATGGACGTGTAGATGGTGTAATTGATAATGACTCGGAATTACAAATCGGAGAGTTCTAATTCCAGTCAGGTTTGTTATATTCATCCAATGCACAAATACCCTTGGAAGGTATGAATCTCTCTTCCCCCACCAGTTGAAACACCCATTCCCATACAATCATCAAAGTTAAGCAACATCAAGCCTGGTCAGTATTTAGATTGCTGACCGCTCGGGAATACCAGGTGTTGTAAGCTTGGATGTACAAGTGATATAATGGATAATGGCTAGATTGTTAATCAAAGAGTAAAGTTCAAAATTCCCATTGGGTTTGTTATATTCACTTATTCCAAAACAACCTTGGGCAAGGTATGAATCCATCCCTTTTCCTCCCACCAGCTATGGATTAATTAGAACAGGTATCAGTCAAAATTATTTCCAAAAGATTCTTAGAATCTAAAAATATTTTCTCACTTTAAATAACCTGTAAAATGTTAAGCTATAAAGAACAAATAATTCCAATCCATTGTCCTTGACACCACCCATCCGTCCAGCACCTGATATTTCCTAAATGGTCACCCTTCTAGATACTGACCAGGTTTGACATTGCTAATTACAATCTAATATACAATAATAGTATGAGTATAGTCATAAAAATAAGGGTAACAACTCAAATGTGTATTGACTGAAAATAACGTTTATACTAATGAGCAATAATGTCAGGTAAAAGAATCCTTTAAAAAAAATTGGTTCAGGTAAAAACTGAAGTGAGCAGGAATAAATTCATAGAAGTCTTAAGAAAAACTTGCCTTCTTTAACAGGTAATTTTGACTGCCTGGCCAGTCTGGCTCCATGGCTGAACTGGTAAAGACACGCTTCGGCTGAAGTGGTTTTCCGGACCTAAAAAAAAAAAAAGGTGGATGCCAATTAGATTCCTGCTGGAGGCACAATATTTTAGGACTTTTACCTGTGGTAGTGGTGTCTCTCTCTCATACCTACACACACATATATATATATATATATATATATATATATGCGCAGGTATGCAGAAAATAGAAAAGAACACGTTGGGTGCATAATCCGGAGATCCTTAGTATTTTTGGTTTTATTTTTAAGACAGTGCTCCATACATAAGTAGAGCTTCATATTTTTTTTGTTTAAAAATGATTCCTTCGCTACATAAGAGTTCTCATGTTTCAAAAACGAGAGCCGAAACCATCCAAATAATTAAAATTAAGTTGAATTGAGGTGTTTAGTCCCGTTTCATCTTCAAGCGAAATTTTAGGAATAAGGTATCTCTCGGTTTACGTGTTTTTAGGCACAGTCCGTTACAAAATTCGTTACTGTGGGAGTGGCTAGACTATTTTTCTTCGTTAAGTGGTCAGTTAATTCTTCTTCTGAGAGGGTTTGCTAAGGTTGGGTAGGGTATCTATTTCAAGGCTAATGTTGGCGGTCATCTTTTAGTTGGTTCCCAGTGAGGGATATTTTTATGGCGCGCCTACAAGTCGTTATGTGTCGTGAGGATTGTTTTATTATTGTCCATTTGATTATCTATTTATTTGTTTATTCAAGTGGGTGTTTTATATACAAACCATATTGCACTGAATTTCAATTTGTTTTTTTTGTTTTTTGACAACTACAGAAAGGGTTTTTCCTATTTAATGATTTGGCTAAGCTTTTAAGACTTTTATTTAGCTATGGGATTTTTTTATGCTAATTATTTAATGCGAAAGTTTGATGTCGGCAAAAAACCGTTAACTCCTGCCTATAGTTTAATAATTTTTCATTATTTAGAAATTTAATGTGTAGTTTTTCGTGTAGTCATAAAGGGCATGGGTCATCCCAGGTTTTACAAGTTCTTGTTTTATTTACTATTTTCCATTTTACTTTTGGTGTTTTCTTTTCTATGCCAGAAATACTGGGATAGAGATGTCTGATTTCTATTTTGAATATTGTTGAAGGAGCTCTTGTGTTGCCTCCATCTAATTTTAAAATTATTCTTCGTTGAGCCTATGTATATCCTATCAGTGTTAGGACTCTCAATGGATGAGAGAGTGCATTGGTATACCATGGATTTTGTGAGGCATTTATTTTCCAACGGGCAGTTTTTAGGGTTTCTACAGTCACATAATTTTTCGTTATTTTTATCTAATTTTAGTTTGAGTTTTATTACTGTTTTGGCATGCGTGTTTTTCTATGATTTTCTTATGTCTTTTTATGATTCTTTCTAGATTTTCAGTGAAGCTGTAACTCAATTTTAAGGTGTTTTTGTTAATGATCTCGCTAAGTTTGCTATTAGTGAGAAAGTGCTTTTCAATTAAAGCTAGGAACTTATGGCCTAGTTTGGTGCTGACCATTTGGTTGTACGGAGGGGTATACCAGATGATCTTTCTTTTCCTGTTTTTCTTATTATTGGTATTATCGTTTCTATAGGTTATGTCAGCGTTTTTGTATCCGCTGTTTTTCAGGGCTGTGTTATAAAAACTGTTGTCGGAATATTTCCTTATTTGCTGAGTTCATACTTATTCTTTTCTCTATTGATGTGGGTATATGCTTAATTATAGATGGAGGGTGGTTTGACTTAGGGTGTACATACAGGGGATTAGTATTAGGTTTTCTGTAAGGTAGGTGAACGTTGTTCGTTAAGTCTAGGGTTACGTATAGGAAGTTTACTCTTTTTAATTTAGTGTTATGGGTACATCAATAACTCCTCAGCCTGAAGATAAAAAAAGTATTTTTTTACACAGCAAATATCTCAACAGGATCTCATTACATGGTGAACAATGTTTGTGTATAACAAACATATTTGGTTATTCTTCAAAATGATCCTTAAACATTGCTGGGTTGTGGATAAACAGTCCAAAGTACACTGGATCAGTGATTTCTCTGATAAAGGGGGCTAGAGTGGGAAATTTTTTTTTTCTTCCTGTTTATAGTTGAAATGCATTTGATTACATAGTAATTTGATGTTTAGATTTATTTGAACATGCATTGCATTTTTATTTAATATTCCTAATAGCTTGTCTAATTTTTCCTCAACAATGTAATTAGAAAAGCCATTATTAATGAGGGTTTGATTTAATATTTTTTAATTTAGTGTCCTAATTTTTTTACATGACTAATTTAGAAAATAATCTACTCAATACCACAAAAAACCCTCTATTTGCTTAAGATACGTAAATGACACTTATTTTAGTCAAAAAGCATAAATGGAATACATGAACTACAAGAAAACTTTCAAAAAACATTTCACGTATGAACTTAACAAGGACAAAAAAATCTTGTTCCTCGATGTATTGGTAGACTAATACATTTACTACCTCTGCTTATAAAAAAAACTAACTAGTAAAAAAATGTACTCTCAATTATAAAAGAATGTCCTATTACAAAAGTAGCTATTATACGAAACTCAATAAACCGTGCAAAATCAAATTCCTCAATGAAAAAGATCTTCTGCACTTAATTAAAAAAAATATTAGACAAACCCTCATTAATAATGACTTCCCTAATTACGTTGTCGAACAAATTAGACAAACTATTAGAAATATTAACATAAATAAAAATGAATAACTCTGAGCTTTTCAAATTGTTATATCAATCAAATGCATTCCAACTATAAACAAGAGGAAAAAATTCTGAAAAACTCAAACACCAATATATTGCCCACGGATCCAACTAAAAAATAAAATTATATCTTATACTAAATTTAATACAACCAACCTAGTTGTCCAAAACAATTCATCAACTAGCATCTTGCAAAAGGCCAACATTGTATCAATTTAAATGTCTTTAGGAGATTGTATCTGATAAAAATGTCAATACATATGTTTGCTTTACTACGACAATGCTAACAAAAAGACTTAGGCTGAGCATAGCTAAATACATCAGCACTTAAAGGAACACTCATGCCCATATTCACAGATTGGGGGGAAATAAATTGAAAATACATCTATATTACATAAAAGCAAAAACTAAAAATACTTGAAGCCTTTATATAGAGGAATTAAAGCCTAAAATAAACAGCCAACTATGAGTATAGCAACAAAGTCGTTAAACACTTTAAAAAAAAAATGAGCAAAAACGGAAAAGTTACTCCCCTTATACTGAAAAAAAAACCGCAAAAAACATGCACTTTGAAATTTAGAATGCTACACAAGCTGTAAAAATGAAGAATTGAAAGGTTTTGAATTCAGAGAAACACATACATACTCAGACAACTTAACCCCCTGAAAATTGTCTCAGATAAAATTGAAAGTACTTGAGTGGGGGGAATAAACTAATTGAAAGAAAATTTTGGTATTTTTCTTAATTTATCAAGGCTACCAAGAAACTAATCCATGAACTTGCAAGTATCACAATGAAAACTAGTCAATGTGTAAATTATTTAACCAAACACACACACACATTATATATATATATATATATATATATATATATATATATATATATATATAAATAAATAAAAGGAGTTTGGAAGTAAGAGGTTAGAATGTACTGGCCAATTCAAAAAGGCAGTGTCATAATTTGAGTAACTGTCAATACATCTGGGTCTGCAATAGCTGAATGCTTACTAAATAATCCTAAGTATGCTTCATCCTATACCAGACATTTTCTCTGTCTTGGGTGTGACACATTCTGAGTTTCATCTGAAAGTCTTGTAGATTTTATAAAATCCCTTCTGCCATACCTCTGTAAGCATGAAGAAGGCTCTGGGACCTTAATGTGCTTTATTTTTCAATTGAGCGCTGAAGTGTGAGTAATTATAACCATTTAACTTTTCTTACATTTTACTTTTTTTTTTTTTTTTTTTTTTTTTTCCTGTGTTACTTGATTTATGAATATTTTTTCATTTCTAATTTTACTGCCATAATAAAATTTTGTGCTCCCAGAAATATATTTACATATTATCTTTGTCAGGGAAATTACTTCAATAGCAAATATTAATCACATAGATTGAAATTTGTTATAGACTGAAAATATCAGATTCTAATAAATGCATGCCGCATTATAAATTTATTGAATTTCAATCAAACCAAAAAAAAAATTGTAATGCCTAGTCATTTGATCGGATTTTGGGATGTTTATCTGGCCAGTTTCCAACACCTCCTTTGTACAATATTAACTGATAAAATATTTGACCAAGATAATTACCAAAGATATTTTACTGACCTATAAGAAATGTTTTGGGCAGATCATCTCAAAGGAGAATGGCTTAAATCACAAGATAAATGAGCCGATGTGCCATTAACTGAAAG